AACAAATGAATGTTATTAGTGTACAATATTAAAAAAGAATCTTTAACCATTTAGAGATAGTGACAGGCTTACTTCAGGCTCTTTCACACACCTTCCAACTCTTACATCATTGGCAAGCATTGCCATGTTCTTGTCTAACACTGTCTTTGGTAGTAGTGCTACTAGTAAGTGCTTCAATAACATGTGAATCATTTGAATCAAACATCGCATGGCAGAAGGGAACACTACCAGAAACCAAAACAAGACTAACTCCCTGAGTAAGTTTACTTCTGCTTCAAAGGGAGGATTTTGATCTGTTTGTTAAATGGAGGAGAAGTATGGGATATTTGATGGAGACCAGGAAAATTTCTTTAAATGAAACAAAGCTAATTATGACAATAAATTATTTTTAAAATATACAGTAATACAACAGGGATTATTACTGGTGTTTTTTCTCACTTTTACATGTGCTGTATTGACCATTTTTCCCTTAGCATTCACTGTCATATCCATTCCCCAGGGCCTACCCTGTTTTTGGGTGTTCAATAAATATCAAACAACCAACATACAAATTATTGTCAACAAAGCTGGACTTCACAGAAATCAATAATCTTGTCATTATCATTTAACATTTATTGAGGGGGCAAAAGCATAACTTGATTAACATGACATAAGCTGGGCTATAATCACAAAATAAGGTATTGAATACAATTTTGGCTAATTAAGCTTCCAGTTTTACTGCATTAATTTTGAATAAAAAAATGTATCTACTTTTTTGTAACTTTGACATCTCAAGAAAGAAATCTAAACATCATTATTCAAATCATTACGCTTCTCTCAGGGAAAGCATATTATTAGATAGAATTCACATTCATTGAAGATGTGATCAATCCACAATAAGTACACATCACAAATTCAGATAGATCAGAGTTGGCACAAAAAGATAGAAGGATCCGACCATGTGGATGAGGACAGTGACACATACACAAAGCACGTAGCAGAACTTGGAGTTCACATGCTACTATGACAACTTAGAAAACTATTACAATTACGTAGAGCACCATGGTTATAGAACAGCATCAAAAACGAAGACTCTTCACGTGGGTGCAAATTAGCTGATTTAAAAATTTGAAGCATTTCTTAATTTGATGTGAATTTGAATATATTACGACAGAAAATCAACTCTGACACAGTAATGAAACACACTCTATAAGTTTGCCTTAAAATGGGTTTTAAATGTTGAGACTTGATGCTTAATAGGCAATAAATTTACTAAATATTATATTATTCTTCTAATCAACTGGATTTGAAGTGATTTTCAAGTGTTAATAAGATGAAAAACTATACTTAATACATTTGCAGAAATGTTTCCCTTAAATTTTAAGATACTTAAATAAAGTTAAGTTTTTTAATTCATAAAATAATATTTTCCTTAACATATGAATCTCAGGATCTGAGAAATGGAAGTCTTTCTAGAACATCGCTCTCCTAAAAAGTGAATATCTACCATGTTTTACTACAAAGAACATAGTATTTAAAAACAATTTGGAATAGAAATATTATATAGAAAAGCATCTAACAACATAACTATAAAAGAATAGAACAGAGCTTAGGTTTCCAAATGTACAACCTCACTTTGAGCCACTTTGGTGGCTATTTAACTTTCTCCTTTCTGTTATTTTTCATGAATTATTGATACCAGAAGTATCAGTACTAGTGTCTACATTTTCTAGTATTCCAACCATGTGACTCACTTGTACACACTTGTATTCAACAAAACATGCCATCCACAAATATTGTATCAATAATGGTCTAGTAAATGCATACCCAAGGACTTATTTTCCTCTACTATTTGTACTTTACAATATTATGCAGAGGAACAATGTATTCATTTATACGCTGTTCTCTGAAACATTTGCCCATCTTATTAAGGGAGATAATGTTTAGAGGAAGGTACCTAAAAACTAGTTCATCTATTGTTTGTTTCTTTATGTTTGAATTAGTGCTGTAAGTATTCATTGAATAGCTATAAGCAAGAAATGCAATTTTTCAGAGCAGATTCTAAAGGAAGGCTCAGGAGATGCTGTGCAAAGATGTTAGAGAAAGAAAGGATGGTGTGTGAATAATTTAAATTGTGACTTCTTTCTTTACCTTTTGAATGTTGAATCTACATCATTTTGAGAAAGGAAATTTTTTAGCAGGGATATTTGGGACTTCAACCCATAACTCAGACCTTGAAAGTGACCCTGCCTCGTTGCCTTCCAGTACGACCATATTTCTTTGGAATGTTACTTACAGTGACTACATCGCCTACCTCGCAGCTATTAGCAGTGCAATTTTACAAAAAGCTTTCTGGTGGGAGAGATTAAAAAAAAAAGTGAATGAGACAGGGTAATTGAATTTAGAACAGCAGGTCAACTTTGTAAAGAAATTTCCAGTTGAAACCACTAAAAATGAAACATTATCAATGAATGAATGAATGATTTTAATAACAAATAATTGCATTATGGACTGCTATGAAGAGGTATTTTCACACAGTAGTATGTATAATAAGCTTGTTTCTCTGCTGTTCCATGGTTATCCAGAGAAGGGTACCAACAGTTATCTCAGACAACACTTTTTAAGATAAGTACCCTGACGTTTCCTGGGAATTTCTTTTTGAACAAGGACAAATAGTTACTGGTTCGTGTATGAGCACCTGTGTGCGTGAGCGTCCATCTGAACAGGAAGAATTATAAAGCATTTCTTGATATTGAAACTTTGAGTCTAGCCAATTTAAACTATGCATGAGAAGAATATCAAAAATCAGATGTTACAAATTAAAAACTAAGCAGAATGCATTTGGAGCTTCGCATGTATTAGGTTAGATACATCTCTATCTCTCATATGATATGAAATACACCATACTAAATTATGTAACACACGATTCATTATACTTCTCAAAATATGTATTTTCCATGAAGTAACATTTAGCTCAATTACTGTTTCCCCAAATATACTTGTATTACAGATTATGTCCATAGGCTCAAAAAACACATCAGAATTAGTTACAAAGTATATTATAAATCTCTTAGCAATACTAATCCATAAGGATTTTCCATAATGAAGTACATAAATTCAAATAACTGAATTACAACAAACCTTCAGGCAATTCTTTAAAAATTTCAATGAATGCTAATTTATTTTAAATAATTTAAACCTCTGGAGATAACTAAAACCTACATAAGGATTAAAACTAAGCAACAGACATTTGATGCATGATTTTACAAATAAAGATTAGGATACTATGATGGATTCTATAGAATGCAGTTCATTATGAGTTATTAACACAAGAACTATCTTATTAAAGCTTAAAGCATGTATATTCAGATCAACTGTTAAAGAGACCATCAGATGTACACTATATTTTAACATATTACCTATTACTATTATTTTTCAAATTGAAAATTTGAAACTACTGACATGCAAAACATAAAACTGAAGCGATTTAACAAGTCATCATAACAGCAATCACTGAGAAAAACTCGTTTTGTCACACAAGCCAAGTGCCTAACTTTCCACAAAATAAAAGGTAAGTATAAATAAATTAATGATAGAATCACCTGAAAAAGTACATTCATATATTTAGGAGCGATTTGCAGAATTTTATCTACTTGTGGAATTATTGTAAATTTAATAAAATTCAGTGGCCTCACCATGCAAGTGAGAAGCATGAAGAATCAGGATTTTAGTCTGTTACCTTAGTTGCTACTGTTAGCATGAATCTTTCATACCCCAGTTACTCTTAATAAACTTTAGTTATTAGAGTAATTTATGAATCCATCGCTAATCTACAGATTCAGATTAGAGGGAAAAAGAAAAAAAACTTCAAAATTTAGTGAAATTAGAAAAATCTGTCACTCATATTTGGAAACTGCATCAAAATAAGCAAAAGTAAATATTATATGCTTATCTAGGAATCTTATAATTTTAATTTCCTTTAACATGTATCTTTTTGTTATACCTACATATCTTGCGAAGAAGAATACGTGTAATGATTTCATTGCTTTAAAGAAAACATTTAGACCAGAAAATTGCATGTATAAATAAACTGAAATTGAAACCTTGGTCATGCTTTGTAACTTGGAGACTATAAACTTTTTAAAAATGAAGTTGATAGAAACAAACTTTGAAGTCAGGTTTTAAGTGTTCATGTGAAATGGGAGTGATTGAAAATTTTAATTGAAAAAATTACATAAAGGTGTACATTTCTGATATTAGGAAATTAAAAATCTATTTGCATCTCAACTTTAAGAGAATGAAAAACCTTGTGATTGTCTTTAGAAAACTGCTACTTTTGATTATGCTTGCTATAGTAGTTGACATAATATCACAAAAATAGAGGAGAGGCAACAGCAATAAAAGTTACTAGCATACTTTGAGTTCTACCAAAAAGCACAACATCAATTTAAGGCTCTTAAACTTGGTGCATTGTAGCATTTTTTTTCTTTTCACAAGCACGTTCTGGAGTTGTGTATATAGTAAGTTAACAGTCCTATACTGTGATTCAAATTTCAGACCTCTTGAGAGAATCCAAAGATGGAAATATAACGTAAATTATAAAGGCTTAGCTTTGCTATTGATTTTCCCCTTTTATTTGACCTTTACTTTTTATTTTTCTGACAATGGAAAGTAACTTTGCACAATTACACTTGAATCATCCTTTTCATCACACTGTGGCCTGAAGTGTCCAGAAACCTCAAACTAAACTGAAAGATGTCAGAGTTTGCCCAAAATCACTCTCTTACTCTCCCAAATTTTGAGGGTTTTCTTGATGTGATTAAGCAGAATGTGGAATTTTCCCATTCGGATCTTGGATTTATAGCTTGGTTACACAACAGAAAGACAAAACCAGAAAAAAATATGCAAGGCCAGTGATACAGAGCAAAAGATTCATAAGTTATTTTCTTCCGCCTCTCTGTATCCAGAGCTTTTCTCCTCATGCTGTTGTCTCTCTAAGGAAGAGAATGCCAACTCCTTCATTACTTTTTACCTTGCTCCACTGTCTTGGCGGCTTTCTCTTCCTTCTTTCCAGTTTCACCTGCAAAGCAAAGATGAAGTTTAAATAAGAATTCTGGAAAGAAATGTCTCTGCTCAAAAAATCCTCAGAATTCAGCCTCCTCCAAATATCCATCCTAAATGAGCTATTTTAAAGTTCTTCCAGCATTTCTCATCTCTCATTAATGTAACTGAAACCTATTTCAAATCTAATCTTAAAAATCCTAAAAACAAACAGAAAGCAAGTTAGTCCATTGCTTTCATCTGAGTAGCTTCCGACACTATTTTGTCTTTGTTCCTTTTATAAACACATTCTACAAGGAATTTCAAGACAGGACAGCAATTAATTGACTTACATTGCAGGTTATTGCTGTCATCACTTAATGTCCTGCAAATGTCATCTAAATGTTCCTTTAAGTAAAAGCTTAAACCTGCTTAACCAACTGAACAGTCAATGTAACCAGGAGGAGACTCATTTAAATATTGAAAGGATTCATTGCAAATTACAAGTATCCAAAATTTAAATAACGTAATCATCTAGATGTTATGTCATTTACACCAAACTTTCTCTAACGTTTATTTTTTTCCTTAGAGGTTTCACTGTTTATCTGTTTACACACCAAAACAATATGACAATAAACAGTGCATCTCACTGGAATCACCGGAATAACTGATTCATTCAAATCTGCAAAGATTACAGGCAATGATTAGATGAAAGATTGGCCAGGAATTAAGCAGTGTCATCACACTCGAGTGTCACCTTGCAGAAATTACCAAAACCCTTTGAAGAACAGCTACAGTTCTGTGCGCTATGGTTGCTTGCCACTTTTGCTACCAAACTCTTGCAGAATTGTGTTCACACTATTAAATGTTGATTCTTATTCTTCGCATTAAAAGAGAAATAACGCTACATGATTGTTTTAAGTTCTCTGAAAACTACGTTAAAGCAACGAGCCTAATCCTAAAACAAGTATGTGGTGATCAGAGGTTGTTTTGTTTGTTTTGTTTTTCTTTTACAATGTCTTCCAAAAAACAATTCTTGCACCTATGCACACTAATTCCATTTTATTTTTCCAATCTTGTTTTAAAGATAGCATACATTAAAAATAATTTTGAAACATAAAGGAGAAAAATTTCTAGAAATAGTAACAACTGGAAACAAATGAGATAGATGTATGTAAAAAGTAAATAATATAATGGAAATTACATGCAAAGAGTATCTAAGAACACATATAAGAGACAAAAGATGGCAAATATATGTTATCAAGTACAACAAATAGAATGAATTTTAACAAACTTCTTTGGAATTAAAAAACAGATGAAATGAGGAACTGCAATATTTGGAAGGAAAACCAATGAGACTTATGTGTATACACTAATAATATCCCTGAAGTACAGATACTCCTAAGTAAGGAAAAGATGTGATCATTGAAATGTAATTTCTCCCTGCATTGTAAAAAAAAAAAAAGAGTTTCGATGAATTATTATAATATTTTTTATTCTCCCCAGTGAAAAGAAAAAACACAGAGAAAGCAAGAAACACACAGTCAGACAAGGAAAGAGAACTTTAATCTGCTGTCTCTTCAGAATCTTGCTTTGACAAGCAAAGGACTTGGACTAGAGAGATAACCCGAGGAAGGTTGGGCCTCCTGCATGATTGGAAACAGTCCAATGAGTTGTAGCTTTGTTATTACTTCCCAGAGTTTGTGTTTTCTTGGAGTCGGCGTCAGGAAACCGAGTTGGTGAAACAAACTCAGCTGCTGTAACATGAGGTCTTGGTGGTTTTAGCACTAGGACTAAGACAAATATCAACAAGGTCTAAGACAAATATCAACAAGGTTTTAAGTGCTTCAAATCTTAATATTTTGTGTTTGAGGAATTTCAATTTTTCTATAAAGTACATAATATTACAAATCATGGATTTAATTTGAATTTTCCAACTATCTCATGATGTTATCTGCCTTTTGCAAGCTTATTTTCATCAATATGACCTCTTCTATAGAGTATCTGCTCAAGACTTTTATTAATTTAGGTTTTCAACTGATTAATGAATATTTCATATATATTCATTACAAATGTCCTTTCTCACTTATGAATTTATTGTAGTGTATAAAATAACATTTTTTAAATAAATAAATTTATATGAATCTTCTCTTGTGGTTAATGCTTTTCTTTTTTTTTTGCCTAGATAATGGTTATAATATATAATTCAGGGGCCCGGCATGATTGCGTAGTGGTTAAGGTCTTTGCTTTGCACATGCCAGGATCCCATATGGGCACAGGTTCTAACCCCAGTGGTCCTGCTTCCCATCCAGCTTCCTGTTTGTGGCCTGGGAAGGCAGTTGAGGATGGCCCAAAGCCTTGGGACCCTGCACCTGCGTGGGAGACTCAGAAGAGCTCCTGACTCCTGTCTTTGGATTGGCGCAGCAGCGACCGTCACTTGGGGAGTGAACCATCAGACTGAAAATCTTCCTGTCTCTCCTCCTCATAGTATATCTGCCTTTCCAATAAAATAAATAAATTTTTAAAAAGATATAATTCAACATTTTCCACAAAATTTTCTAACACTGTTAAGCGTTTTTCAAATTCAAGCTTATGTATGCCACGCACCATGAATTATTACTTGTGTATGAAAGGAAAATTAATTTCACTTATTCCTCACAGATGTCATCCATTGCTGGTCACTTTACATTTAAGAAAATGCTAAATATCTGGTACTATGAACTTTTCCTTTCTATCAAAAGGAAGATTTACATAGATAAGAGAGAGAAAGATTCACTCTCCAAATGGCCTAATTGGCCAGAGCTGAGCTGATCCTCAGACAGGAGTCAGGAGCTTCCTCTGAGTCCAACACAAAGGTATAGAGTCCCAAGGATTTGAGTCATCCTTCATTGCTTTCAAAGGCCATCATAAGCAGGGAGCTGAATCAGATGTGCCGCAGCCAGGACTAAAGCTGGGAAGTATGTGGGATGCTAGCATTTTAGGCAGATGACTAGCCTGATTTGCCACTGTGTGGGCCTTCAAATTTATTAATGTTATTTCCCCCTTCAGAATTACAATTACAGTTTACTAAACATTTGTCAAGTTCACTGATTATTTATTATTCATCTCTAGATATTTTATTTTTTCAGATACATAGTCATGTCATCAACAAATGTGTTTAGCTCTTATTCACATTTTTATTTCTTTTCTTAGCCTTTACAGAACAAACGCAGATTCCAGCAAAATGTGTAACAGAAGTGGCTATAGCAAATGTGCTTATTTTGAACCATTTCTCAGAGTTCTGACTTTCTTCATTGAGTACACCGCTTATTAGTAATTTTGTAATCATGGGTTTCAGGGAGCTTCTCCCTGCTGTGGTTATCATATCAAATACATCTATTTTTTCTTTATTCTTTTATTATGATTTATAATGTAACTATGGATTTTACCATCTCCCTGTAGTGATAGCCTGGGGACCAAATCTTTAGCCTATAGGGCTTTGGCAGATATTCAGCATCAAACACACAACAGAGATAATCTGAAAACAGAGAATTGGCAAAGGGTCATAACTCTTAAAGACAAAACTCGAATGGGATTTTCCAGGTGTGCTAAAAAGAAGCCACAAAGAGGTAAGTCCCATTCGTCTCTTCTGTGATACTTTCAAATCAATGTGCAAGTAAAATCCTGATAATTTATAATTTCAATAGAATCACATGGATATGCATCCATATCCATAATTTTTTTATTAAGAAAAGTCATTGTAAACATTGTGTCAAGAATCCACAAGGGATCTTAAAAAAATTCATGAAAAACTCACAATGGGTTTTGACATTTTTACAATGACGTGAGCTTATATCTTAATTGTATTTTACTATAAAATTTTGAGTTCCTTCACATAAATAGCTTTCAGCTATTTATTCTCTGAAGAATAAATGTCATTCAGAAAGCAGATGATATGTGACTTGCACACAAAGATCAAGGTTTCCCCTAATGATGGATTTGTGATTCTTACATCCATATCAAGTGGGGGAGGCTGGATTTCTAAAGCACTGTTGTTGTTCTTTTATCAATACTCAGAAAAGGTCACTGAAAAATGCTAATCATCTACCTGGCAAAGATGACATTTTGCCTGAAACCTCTGTCTCTCATTCTGGTTCTAATATAAAAGTAATCAAATCCAATTCTAGGGAGAGTAAACTGTAGCAACAAATAGCTCATTTAAAGAAGGGCATTTTCAAAACTTCTGGATTAAAAAGGAAAACATACACTGGTGCACTTTCTCTTCTAGCATACAGTGTATCTGAAAACAGAAACTTTTATTTTGCATTTGGAGAGATATCCTTAGCGATGATTATTAGTGGGAGGACAAAAGTGAGGATTGGAGGGAGGGAGGGAGAAGGGAGAGAGAGAAGGGAGAGGAGAGAGATAAAGGAGAAAGACATGAAAGAAAGAAGGAAGGAAGGAAGGAGGGAGGGAGGGAAGGAAGGAAGGAAGGAAGGAAGGAAGGAAGGAAGGAAGGAAGGAAGGGAGGGAGGGATGAAAGAAGGAAGGGGCAGGGAAGAAGGAAGAAGGAAATAAGGGAAGGAAGGGGAGGAAGGGAGGGAGAGAGAAGGAAGGAAACAAAACATGCTGTTGTATTTCCTTCATAGATGATAGCTAACGTAAAGGAAGTAAAATATAGTTACTTTTGGTCTTAGAATGCAAATTCTAAATTATAGCTAGTAAATAGAAATTGATGATAAAGAGAGATGGTTATTAATTAAACAAAAACACTAAGCTATTGTGATCTTCCTTCGTTTATGCCCCCCAAATTAGTTTTTGAAACTTTGTCAATAGCTGTCATTTCCTCTTCATTCACTCATTGTTTCACCCTTGAGCTTTGCTTGTGCTCACTCCTCTAAAACATCTCCTTTGGAAATAGACAGCCATTCAATGCAGTGGCTATGAGTTATCCACATCCCATATTGAAGTGTGTGGGGTCAAACCCAGTATTGCCCCTATTATAGCTTCAGGCTAAAATGAATCCTAAGAATCAAAAGTTAATCCATCAATTTCTCTTTCCTTGGGTACCCCATCGCAGATTTTATCCTTGTCCAATCTGGAGCTCTAGTTTTGCAATTATTGCCACCTGCATGCACCCCTAACACTTAAGTGTCTCTAAAACATAGTTTGATATTTCTACCTAGGCCTACCGCTCATGTGATCCTGTGGTTGTTGTGGCCTAATCCAGCCGGTCCCACAACCATTCTGCCTCTCATTAGCATCAGTGGTACTGCAGCTAAGCCAAATTACGTCTGCACGAAGAACCAGCACATATGTATGCTAATGGTGCTGTAGCTTTGCCCAGCCTGGTCTGCCCACAACCTCACCAGAGGGAGTTGCATCTAAGCAGGCTAGTCCAGAGAGTAGCATAATTAGGTCTGTTCCCTGGCTCTTTTGCTCCACAGAGTCAGCTAAGGCATCACTGGAGAGTTCCTCCACCTGGCCTGCTCTCAGCTCCAGATCCTACATGTGCTGATGCTTGCAGCATACCTGCTGGCATGGTGTGCCCTCAGTCCTGGCCTCTGCGGGTTCAGCCTGGCCCCACCCAACCTCCTTTCAAACCAGGCTCCAATGATTGTTGGGAGAATTCCTGCCAGAGGAGTTCTGTGGTGCAGCCTACCTCGGTCCATCCACAATTTCCCCTACAGAATCTGCTCCAAGATTGGGCTCTTCAACATTCTGGCTGATGCTTTGGCGGAGTCTGACTTGATCTACCACGTGCTCTGGCATTCATGGGTAGTACTGCAGCCTAATGCACTCAGGCAGACCCATAGCCCCAGCTTTTGCATGTGCCAGTGAACCATGGGCAATGCTATTTAGCCCCAACCAGGTGTGCATGTAGTTGGGTGCCTTTCCTAACCCAGACATGTCCTCCAGTTTCTCCCCTATACACCACTGTAACTCAGTTCCCTCAACTACAGAGAATTGCAGTGTCTCAGTCTGTGGAAGGGCCATGAAGTCAGTCCTGTGCTGTCAAGCATGCCCCAGGTGCTTGCTCTACTCCAATATGTGTCCAGCACCTCCAGCTGGGGCTGGGCTATTGTGTCCCAGAGCTGAATTTACTGCCTTCTCGAAAGAAAGAAAGAAAGAAAGAAAGAAAGAAAGAAAGAAAGAAAGAAAGAAAGAAAGAAAGAAAGAAAGAAAGAAAGATGAAAGAAAGAAAGATGAAAAAAGAAAGAGAGAGAAAGAGATAGAGAAAGAAAGAGAGAGAGAAAGAAAGAGGAAGAAAGAGAGGAAGAAAGAGAGGAAGGAAAGAAGAAAAAAGAAAGAAAGCTGGTTATTTAAAATTAATTTGTCATTAACCAGACCAAGAATACTTACCGTTTTTTTTTTTCGTGTTTTTTTTTTTCTCATCAGTGTAACACTTGCCTAGATACAATACAACCTAGGAAATTGCCTACAGTTGGGCTCATTATGAAGTAAATATCTAAATATTATCCTATATTTGAATTTGTAATTGCCTCCTGTTGCACATGAAATAGAGCTCAATTTAAAGCCATGGCCTTTAGCATCAGTTAGCCTAGATCATGTTAATTAATAAAAACAAGTGTAAAGGTTTCTGTCCTCAAATATATCTTGATTTTTTTTTCTTTTATAAAGTACAGTGTCCCCAAGTCAACATCTCCTTAAGCTATCTCCTACTTTGGCATTATTCTTGCACTGAGTGACCATTATTTATGAGAGTTCTTTTAGTCAAAGTTTTGTTTTATCAAGCCCTAATCTCAGAGGCAGCAAATTAAATTTGCAAGCAGGATCTGAGAAATTAAATTTCTACAGTTTTTAAAATATACACTGGCATTTTGAACAAATTATGATTGGCATTAGGGATCGAAAGCCTGATCGCCATAGATGCTGTGTGCAAGGTAAGTTTGTTTTCACATCAATAAAAGAGCAATAGTGCTCTTCACTATGCACAAAATAATTCATTAGGATAAAATTTTTGCAGCAATAAATTACAGACATGAAATTTGTTTCTTCAAACTTCATTTACCTTTTCTGGTTGAGGCAGCATTAACCTCTTCTTTGGCTTTTTCAATTTCTACAAATTCAGATAGCCCAAAATAAGAAAAAATATCAGCGATATGAGATTGATATCTTACAGTATTGTAAATCAGACAGAAATAAAATTTATCCAAAGATAAAATATATCTGAGACATGAGACCAAAGTAATGCAGAGGAAAACTACAAAGAACTTGTATGACATCTCAAAAAAATGAATTTTTTTAAAATAAGAAACAAATTTTCTTTAAGTGAAACTCTATATGTGATAATTATATGCTAATTTCAGAAGTTGATGACTTATCTTACAAGATGCAATGAGATCCTTATTTATTAAAATCTTAAATGAGGAGCTGGTACTGTGATGAAGTACACTGTGTGTGTTACACTTTGTGTAGTACACTGTGATGTAGCTAAACTTCCAATTGTGGTTTCTGCATCCAAACTGGATCCAGGTCAAGGCTCAGCTGCTCAACCTCTGCTCCAACTACCTAAACCTGGGAAAAGACACACACACACACACACACACACACACACACACACACACAGCACAACTACTTGGCTCCCTGCACCCACATGCAAGACCAAGATGAAAATTCCTGACTTTTGGCTCCAGGGTTTAAATTGGCTCAGCTTCAGTGGGTGGCCATTTGAAAAATGAAGCACATGGAAAATCTCTCTTTCACTGTCTAACCTTCTCTCAGTGCAATACTGACTTTCAAATAAATACACATCAAAATAATAAAATAATTTTAAAATCTTGAATACAATACAAATGTTATGAACAAAGAAATGAAAGCTTCTCTGTTTAACGTAACATAGTTCTGACAAACAATAACTGACCTAAGTTAGTTCAGTATTTTAAATTTTGGCCATATTATTATTGAAAATTCTACTGAAGTCAGAGAGAAAAGCCAGAAATTATGTAAGTATCTACTTCAAGTTTTTTTTAAAACCTGTAGCTGCAGTACTGAGCAACTTTGCTTATTTCTTTCCAAGGAAGACAGAGCCCACTGATGCTCAAACTTGAGCAAGCTTCAGAATCATCTGGAGAACTTTCCAAAGAGGATAGGGTGGGTATTTTTATCAGAATGTTAAATAATCACTTGGGATGTCCACACCTTCTATTGGAAATCCTAGCTCAAGTCCCAGCTGGCTACTCTATTTCCTATCCAACTTCCTGCTCATGTACCTGGGACACACATAGTGGCACAGGAACTTTAGCCCTTATCACCCAACTTGGAGAAAGTAGATGGAGTTTCTGTCTCCTGGTTTTGGCCTGGCCCAGCTCTGGATATTGTGGGCTTTTGAGAAGTGATACAGTATATGAAAGAGTTGATTATTTCTCTTTGTCTCTCATTCAAATAGTAAGTCTTAAAAACCATAGAAGTCTAAGAAGTCTCAAATTAAGACTCCCTATGTGTTCGGGTGACTACTAGTAATCCTTGGCATGGCATGTCTTCTATTGCTGCATTATTTCATGAAACAAAATAATATTTCTCATGTCGAGGTTATATACACAAAATGTTGTGGATCACACTTTATGGAGAGTCTAATGCTTTTAATTGTAGTAGAAATGATCAGTTTGACTGCAGGCGTTAATGCTATAAACATTCAGCTGTATATAAAAAGACCCTTCTTTTGTACGGTTTCCATGTGAATAAATAGTTTCTAGTTGAAGAAACAGTTGGCCACACTGTCATCAAAGATTTAAATACTTTTTAGTTTATCTCTAATTAATCATATATTAAAGGATAGTGCCCATGTCAAGCCCAATCTCAGCCATAAAAGAGATTGAATACTAACTCTTGGGTCATCTTTACAGAGTTTAAGATGATCTGATAACCAAATTTGCTAATCTCCTCAACCTGATGGACAGGATTTAATTGATATGATTTACATTTTTTATTGTACATACATATTTCAGTGTATATTTAACGCTTTTTCATTACCATCAGTCTAAAGTATTCTGTAGGTGCTAAAAACTGTCCATTTATATGCTTTCTTGACCATGCATTTCTACAGATTAAATATTGAACTATCAAATACCATGCAATATGTAGCTTTAAGAAATTTACATTCTATCAGGTTTTTTATGGAAAAAGAACTGCAATTTCTTCTCATGTTAAACCTTTTTTCTTAAGAATCTCATTATATCTGAGTACTGGTGACTGTAAACTGTTTTGAAAAAGCAAATGTTCCCAACAAGAAAATCAAAATTTTTTCTACTTGCCTTTTGACATATCTATCAGTAATGTACTGTCTCAAAAACAGACCAGTAATTACAATATGCATTTTTAATGTATTAGTGCAAGCATCAAAACCCATATAGCACTCACCCCCACAAAAAACATTCCAAATATATTTTATATCAGTCAGATAACAGAGTTTAACCATACATCATGTAAAAAATGATAAGGAAGGCATACATTTTAATTATAATTAAAATATTTTTAATTAGTGGCAACCAATCAAGCACTTCAACAAACAGAGAAACTCAGGGGAAATTATAGCATCACAACATGATATTCAAGACAATTTGACAACTGTCACATTTCATTAAAGACACAAATGTCTTAGTAGAAAAATGCATTTGTCTACTTGTTTCATCAAGTTATCATTCATTACAAAACTTAATCTTTAGAGAATACTTAAATAGTTTGATGATTTATTGTTATGAGAAGGGGAAAGTAAAAGTTAAATTTAAATGAAATTACACAAGTTAATATCTATAATTGAAAGCTTTACAGGCACATTTAAAACAGAATGAATAAAAATGAGGAAGATTTTCATTTTGAATATTATTTTTATACAATAAATAATCATACAAAGAAATATTTGATAGTCTAGCTTCAAAAAACCTTAATATTGTCTGTCACATAAGACTCAAATGAGTAAGCTGCTAAAATATGCTCCTTTTTAAAAATTTTGTTCACATACTTGCTTTTACTTGTCTTTCACTTGGAGCTGTTAATGACAAGAAAAATTCTACATTAACTCTCTAAAAAATTGAAACTTATTTTAGTTGCTTTAAAGACTACAGATATAATCATGTAAAGCAAAGAACTCCAGAATAGAAAGGTGAGGATTACAGAGGTAGTACAGTGGTATAAGGTGTTGCTTATGATGCTTGCAATCCCACATCAGATATCCATTTTAAATCCCAGATGTTCATCTACCAATTACACTTCCTGCTTATAAGCTTAGAGAAGCAGTAGAAGATGGCACAAGGACTTGGGGCCCTGAATTTTCTGTGGGAAATATGGATGGAATTCCTGGTTCCTGGTTTGATCTTGCCCAACACTAGCCATGTGGACATTTATGGGAGTAACCAGTTGATGAAAGTTTTCTTGTTTTTGCTCTCTCATTATGCCTTTCAAGTAAATAAAATAAGTATTTAAAATAAAACACAGAGGCTCACAACACACAAAAAGAACCAGATGCAGTCTCACGCTTCTGGCTTCAGTCTGATCCTATCCTGACTGTTACAGACATATCAAGAAGAGCCCAGCTGATGAAAGATCTCTTTCCATCACTCTGTCTTTTGAATACATAAATTTAAAAAGTCCAGAAAATTATTGCTAATCTCACTGTAATCACATCCTCAAATGAACAGAAAATGATTGGCAGCAGTTTTTAAAGATTTTACTTGTTCAACATCGCATTTATTGTAGGAATGTGATCCTGAACAGAGACATTGTGCCCTGTAATGCAGGAGCAAGATGCTATCCCAGGGGTGAGAAATAGCCGGACTGGTAATGGAGCTGTGTGATTACTCTATCTTGTAAATTTCTCCTGGATGTCACTCAGATTTCCGATATTTAAAAATATAATTACTCCATTAAGTGCATCTCCTTTGACCTGATATGACATTATCAAATGATCAATGTTTGTTTCACAAAATAATAACACTTAGAAGATAAAGTGATAGAAAAGCTTCATTCCATTGATCTACATCTAAAATGAGCATAACAGTACATGACGTGCTGTTATAAAGTAAAGAAATGATGGTGAAAGAACTAATTGAAGAAACACCTGAACAGATTTGGATTGTCTCAGACATTTATACAAATATGGAAAAAGAACAAAAACCTGGCTTCAAATTGGGATTCATGAAAGTTTGTGCAAGCATTGGGACTAAACTTATATTTTCATTGTCATTTATATAATGTTGAATAAATGCTGTTTTTCTTAAGTGCAATAAGAGCAGTAATTAGAGGATAACATACAAGGCTATGATTGCCTTTGTACATACAGATAACACATACCACTCCCCTCGAAGTTTTCTATTAGCACCAGCCAGGAGAAAATTTATAGGTGACACCTTAAAATTAGGTTAATTAAAACAATTTCAAAATGGTCACATGAAATGACAAGCAGCACAGGTTAAATATTAAGAAAACTATTTTATATCCAAACCATCTTGACTCCTTAATTTTGCTGATAGACTCATTTGTTTGGTTGACTTTAAATTCAATTTTCCCTTTGGAATGTGAATATATTCAAGGGAAAGAAAAAAACTTTGCCCACTTTCATGGCACCTCTCTGGACTAATAAAAATGCTATTAAGTAACATTATGAAAAGAAATAGGATATTTTTTTCTACTGAAATTGAATATTTAATGCTTAAAAGCCAAAAAATATAACATGCACTTGCAGAAGATATTTTGTTCTTGCTTCATTTTCTTTTTTGTTTGTTTTATATTTAACTGAAAAAATGCATCTCAACCATTTTACAAATGAATCCACCGGGACATCTTGTGAAGCTGAAAATCAGGATCTGTAGTTCTGCATAGACATGGAGGTTCTGCTCTCCCAACAACCTCTCAGCAACCTTCTTGCTGCTATTTACAAGATGCACATTAAGCAACAAGCACATAGCATATATTTGGTTCTTACCCTCTAAAATTTTATTATGTTATGTCTATATCAAGAACTTGGACAAAAAGGTAAAGGATTTCTTGCCCTGTATAGTCATTGTTTTTGCTACCTGTCGGAGGCTGTTTCACCATTTAAGCATTAGACAGGAAGTGTAAAGAGTTCAACAGCAATCAATCATGCTTACCTGCATGCTCCTTCTTTGGTGACTTTGCTGTAACAATGGAAGAAACAAATTATCATTTCATGCCACACAATTATAATGCAGGATTCAATTGCAAATCCAACATCACAATAAAATTAAATGGATAGAAAATTTAAAGTTACCTGGTTTGTCATGTCGTTCTTTTTTTTCCTCTTCTGAAACATAGTATTATTATTTCATTACTCTTGTTGCTGTTACTATCATCTCAATTTTGCATGTCACACAACAACAAAAACCTTGCACATGCTGATACTGGATTGCATCAGTTGATAATAAATGCCGTGAAAAAACTACTACTTGTTGGCTTAGCATAATTCTTCCCATGCATTTCCCTTAATATTTCTCCAACAGAGCAACATAGAAGCATTCTGAATATTAGAGAAATTCAAAACTTTCATAAGTAGTAAACTAGAAAAACAAATAATTGCTACATCTTTTCCATAAATGAGAAAAATTTCTATTGTTAAATTTTCCATCATTAAATCAGCAGGAAGTAAATATGGAATAAAAATAGGTATATTGAGTTGTTTTATGATAATTTTCAGAGTGACAAACATGAATAACTTCCATATGGACTTCTCCTCTAAAGACACAGCTGAGATGACTTCAGGAAACTAAAATGGACTGAGAGGCAAGGAGGGAAACATCACATACCTGCCTTGTTTTCAAGACAGATGTTATCTTGGAGTCTTTTTTAGACCATATTTATACTAATGAACACACTTTAGTCAAAATTGTATGAGATAAAGCATGGGTCTGGTGTTAAGAATAAGCTGACTTACAATTACAATGTAAACTCAGTTTTTATGAATTACATCCACTAATTTTATATTATTTAAGTGCTATTGCCCAAATATTATTTTGGGAATATTTATAAGTATTGAATGCCAAATAATTTTTGGTCATCACATTGATTGTTTAAGTGTATAGTTAATTTATCAGATTAATAATTATGTAGGTGAAATTAGCAACTGAGCCACTTCTAAGGTGACATACAGCCAATGAAGCAAACAATTTCACCAAGTGGTGCAGCACAGAAGGACAATGTCTTAAGTGGCTTATCTTAAACATAATAAAAACATTACCAAACATTTGATGGCAATTAAGAAGTGCAGTGAATGTATTATTTCTTATTTTTCAGAAACATCAATTATAAAAATATTTCTAGGAGAAAAAATACTAGAGGCAAAGTTGGGTATGTGCTACCTACCATTGAATACTAGCAATATGTAAGATTCAGTATTAAAATAAAGTTCTTCCTAATTGATCAGAAATCCATCATATAGGAAACAAGTGCCTGTGTAATCTGAAACAAGAGAACACCCTGAAGAGTGCTCCTTGGGTGGGATTGTTCAATTTGCAGTTACTGAGCATCTCCTATGGACATAAATGACTTATCCTTTATTTCCTCAAGGCTGTCAATACATGGGCCATATTGATTTTTGAAGTATTCAGATTTTTTTTGTTATTTTAAAATATTTGTAGATTAAATGAATTCACAAGATGTGCAGGAAGGTTCCTATGAATTTTTTCAACCTGTTCCCCATGTCATAATTTACTTTCAAATTGAGAAAACTCTCAGTAGTAAAAACTTGAAAGGTAGAAAGCAGTGTAAAATATAAGGCTGCATTATATAATCTTGAAAACAAAAGACATTTAACTCAAGCAAATTCAAAGATACAAAAATAACCATAATAAAAGTGATTCTAGATAATAAATCAGTGAAGGCAATTTAAACTACTAATCATTCTGGAGAAAATTATTTTTTTAAATTACTGTCCCAATCACAACTCATTGATCTTCTCAATGAAAAAGTCAGTGGCAAATGTGTCAGAAGCTATGTTTATTTCCTAAAAACGGCAGTGCCAAGCAGTCCCAGGGAGTTGGCTGGAACTGTTAAACCACACAGGCTGCAATAAAGTGAAGGCTGTAGATTATCCATATATTATTTTTCAAATTTACAATCATCCAGCACTTTCCTGCTGGTGCAGTGGTTTATGAAGTGGTTTCTGAGTCCCTGCACCAGTACTAATCTGTAACTGCACACACATAACTCTGAGACTGAATAAACACATACTTCTCTATAGATAGATTGCTCCCTTGGCTAAGTTGCAATATAATTTCATGATTCTCTCTATGGGATATTTTAGAGCATTTTTCATGACAAAAAATATTGCTGTGTCTGAACTTTTTGCAACATTAAAGGGTGTATAGATATTTTTCTTATAAGTTGATGGACATTTTTAAAATAAATGTTTTTTAATCTCACTGACATTTTTACAGCTTCACATTTCTAGAAATATGCTTGCTTTTAATTATTAATAGAGTAAAAAGGAAGTTGTTTTGTGTTTTAGTTTTTTAAATATGTATCTTATTTTCTTCAGAGAAAAGTACATGTTTATAAAAGCCAAAACCCCAAGGCATTGGGCATTAATGAATTATTAGGTAATAGGGGATCTTGTCTTACATATGGATCCCAAACAATGCTATGTGACTATAAGCCGCAGTAACTCTAGAAGGGTTCTTAATTGTGGACAAAGTGTCATATATCATTTAAATACCACAAAAATGTTACAGAGTAAAAGAAAGATAAAAAGAAACAAAATTTGCATGTAAGATCATGAGAATAAGGGCTCAATACAAAATAATATGAGAACAAGATATTTAGACATTTGATTGTATTAATGCAATGTAGTTGTATTTTGGCTTACAGTGCTGGATGATATTACTGGGTGGTTAAATGAGTTTCAAACCAGATGTTTATCAGAAGCTGTGGTATACTGTCCAATCTACTCTAATGCTCCAGGTTGTGCATTTCTTACTCCAACAAAATATTAAAATAAAAGAGTGTATAAGCATAAAACGTAGAAAAAGACAGGTCAGCATTGCAAGTCTAAATACACCACCAGCATGCTAATAATAGTAGCAAGAAAAATATACAGAAATCAATTTCACATGCACTTCCTTACTTTTTCCCTTGGGTTGCTCTGTTGAAAGAAATATAGAAAGAAAACTATAACTCTTAAAGTAACTACTCAGAGAATAAGCTTTCCTCTTTTGCCACAAACTGGTTGCAAACAGAAACCATTATGGTTAGTGAAGTCAATCAGTCCCCAAAAAACAATCTCGTATGTTTTCCCTGATCTATGTTCACTAATAGAGTATTAAAATATAATTTATATGAGAAAGATTGACATTTTGCTATTCGATTATTGTTTACAGGCTCTATATACATTCTTGAGCTACAGTTAAGTTTCTTTGTCATATATATATATAATTTGGTCATTGAATTATTGTGATTGGGAAGCAAACTGAAAAACATGGCATTTTAAAAATTAAAAACAAATAAATAAATAAGGAAGGTGGCTTGAAAACATAATGACGCTCCTAAGTTGGTGTGAAATATATGAATTTTTCACTTTATATGAATAAAATAAGTGAAAACATGAATAAATAACAAAGATAAAATTTGCTACTCAACACATTAGCACACCATATTTTTCTAAACATCTTCCTTCAGTTTCATCTTTTAAATTTCACAGTGACTGTTATTCACACACATTGGTAATTATCATGACTATTTCCTAAATTTGATTGAAAAAATGGTTTTATGATGAATAAATCTATGAAACTGTTTTTTTATTTCAAAAACTCTCAATTTACAGCTTCTTTATTCACAGAATGAATAAATTTATCATGTACATAAACATATATGAATCAATACACGAGATACAGCTCTTCTTGCCACATGTTACATTCTATTCAAAACTTAAAAATAGATTCAGTTCCTGATAGACTAATGTATTTGAAATCAATTTAATTTATTTTTCTAGGAAAATGAGTGTCTTTTATGAACATTTTCCTATTTCTTATGAAGGAAACTTGTATAAATGTGATGATTATCTTCTATTACCTCAGATACTTCTCAAATATTCCTCAATTTCTGTCTCTATATAATCTGTAAATATTTTTCTACCTCAAACTATCTAATGTTTTTCTCTATCCCATATATGGTCTTTCCCTGTTTGTTCATCTTTTAGGAAAGAATGCCATTTAAATGTTTCTTAAGCATAATACAGAAAAAAGGAGATTTTTTCCAGTACCTTCTGCAGGTGTTTTTGCTTTCTTGGAATCTGAAAACACAAAGATAATTGATTCTTTAAAAAGATACAAAATATGTGATGTATGTGAGTGAAGTCAACATGTCAAAATTGGGTTATTACTGTTCATAGACGTTATGTATACGTTGATCAACACTGATTTTTCTACTTCCTACTTGCTGAATTTTTTATTTGCTTGACAGTTAAGCTTGTGATTGAGTACTTTGTAAGTTGTCGTTGTAAAATTTAAAAGAAAAAAACAATAAAGGGGAAAGGAGAGTGAAAGCGGGAGAAAGGTTAAAGGTAAAAATACCATGTCTAAGAACCATATATATGCAAACTACTTTACATTATCTCTTTATGTAAGTAAAATACATGAAATTCTAAGAAGATATATTAAATGAACAACTTATTTCATCATAACTTATTTCATCTTAGCATGAACATTAAAAGGATCTTCAAAAGTGGATAGATTGCACAAAAATAAATAACATGTGAAGGTTAAAGTGAAGCTATTCTGTTATTGAGGTGGAATATTAGAGTAGGGCTGACAAACTTTTGTCATTTGCTATTGATAAACTTTTAATATAAAAATATTCACAAATAATCTTCAGACATCTCCTCAGTTCTGAAGATGTTATCTTTAATGGAAAGCTACCTGATAAAATTTTTTTTCATAAATATAGATTGCAATCCATGAGTTTAGCTAGTAGTGTCTGAGTTTTTAATCTAAAACTTCCCACATGAACCTGAGTATGCTATTCTTGAATAATGAGCATTATTTCTATCATAATGGAGAAGACATAGATGGTAAAGGTTCCTGAGTTACTGACCGACACAATATTATAACTGGTATATAGTAGGGTGTATTCAGTAGTAAACAGATATCTATTCTGAATAGAAGCATTTTCAGAGTGAATGTGAGACTTTCAAGATTCTCTATCAGCTGTGAAATTTGCTGTTCTTACTACTAAAAATAAAACACAAAAAGTTGTTTATTATTGATCATGGGAAAAAATATTTTCATTAAAAATTTTGCTTAGAATATTTCATCTCTTGTTTTCTTCATCATTTGTGCTATATTTTCTAATTCTTAATTATTGAAGTGTAAACAGTTTTGAATTATGAATTTGTATAATGAATTATTTATGAACCAAATAGCATAGTTTCAGTAGTAAGTAAGTGAAAATAAAATACAGAATAACAGGACATTTATGGCAAAGATTATAAATGTGAATAAAAGGAAGAAAATATACAAAATGGCAAATGGCAAGAGTAATCGTGTACAGATTAAGATTTAGTAAGATCTCTATTTTCCTTATTACATCTTAATGCTTATGTATCTAGTGTGGTTCAATGAAAAGAATTTTAGACTCCATTTGTGTGGGTATTTTTAAAATCTAGCCTAAATTTCAACACTGAAAATTATCCTACTGCTGGAGTGACTGCTTCAGTAATAAGCTGCTTTCCAGTGTCACATTCTGTCCACCTTTACGTTAATGTACGCCTAGGGAGACAACAGGTGGTACAGGACTTAGGGGTCTGCCACTCACAACAGACTCAAATGAGTTCCAGATCACCAACAGGCCCAATTTGAACTGTGTCAGATATTTGGGAAATTAGCCAGTGAAGGAAGATATCTCTGTATATTTGTGTTTTGTCTCAGTGCCTTTTAAGCAGAATGAAAATAAATAATTTTTTTCAAAGAAATGGTTAAATTTTATTTTTTATCTTAAAATCACACTTCTGTTTCTTTAATTTTTTTATAAATTTGTTTTATTTTTGATGCATTTATATAGTTGAGAAGGATGTAAAATAAGTAAAAATATTTTAGAGAAAAAAGCTAACACTAATTAAAATTGTCTTAAATCAGTGTCCCATCAGAAATTCTAACTTAGCTAAATTTCACATCTAAAATATCTATGCTATAAAAATTTCTCATCCATTACTATCAAGAGCAATCAGAATAGAGACAGGAAGCAACTGAAATGGAAGACATAACACATTAGAACAGGAACAAGCCCAATCCCTGTTTTCTCTGAGTGTATGTTTCCATGAAATAGATGAGGAAGGTTCAATGCAATATGTATATTTAGCTTATCTCCATTATTTTTAATTTGCTTTTCCTCTTCCTAATAAGGGGAATCAATCATATATTGGATAATAATTGCACTGATATTACAGAAAGTAAGTGACTGTGATATCCAGGGTCAAGCAAACAAAACTATTTAGAGAGATAAAATGATACACTTCATGAAGTAGAAATGCAAAATATAACAAGCCACACCTAATCAAGCACATCTTTTAGAATTTAAGGAGGGTTGGGATTGTGTTATAGTGGGTTAAGTCTCCACTTGAGCTGTGCCCTTCAAATCCAATTTTCTACTAATGTCCCTGGAAGACTGTCAAGAGATTGTTTCTCATTATATCCTAAATTGTTTTTTCTCTAGTGCTCTTGGAATAAAGCTTCACATCACAAAATCATTTGGCTGTAGCCTAGAACTGGCCTCCCAGCAATAAAGCACCCTTAAGGTGCTGCCTTGTTATCTGGCCTCTTTTTTTCTAATGCCACCGTTCAGGAAGTATTGGGAGAAGAAACATGTAAATCTAAAGCTTTCAGCTACTTTTACCTTTGCTGTTCACGAAACTAATATATTGACTCTATATCCAAAAGACTCACTACATCCAAACAGCCAGGTTTCTTCTTGTTTACATTGTGCACAGTTCCATTTATTAGGCAACCACTGTTTGATATTCTCTTCATAGACAGAGATTAGCAATAGCTTTTAGAACACGGGTAAAGTTCTGTTTGCATATTACAGCTTCAAAAATATTTGAATAAATTCATTTTTTAGATTTCCTCTTTTATCACCTGCTGAAATGATCTGTCATATGACTTAGCTTCTAATTTTATATCATTATTACTATTATCTTAATAATTTGCATAATCTCAACATTTTCTTAACTGTTTTAACTGGTAATGAACACTGTTCTCCACTTATCTAAAGATAAATGTAGAAGACAGGTGGTGTGACATGTAGATAATTTTTGTTATTAAGATTTATTATTATTATCATTATTATTATTAAAATCTAATGCTGAATTTATCTCTGCATATTGTTCAATTGTATTCAAGCAGAATTTATTTTTAATGTGATCTTTTTGTGTAAAAAGTATAAGAGATAATATTCCTGTTAAAACTTCAACTTGTATTGAACCTGAATTTTCTTCTCATAAATGTAACACATTTTTGATTCTGTTTCCAAGGGCACTAAAACCTTATTTACACATATAACAGGCACTTGTGATTGGAAATGGTAAATAAAATGAAGCCCTTCACACTTTCCTAAGAATGGTCCAGGGGTTTGCTCTCCTCCATCGCCTCCCTCTGATATGCTTTAAGAGCTTCTTTAAAGGCTGCAGGCTTTGCTACTTATGCTTCAGTACATATACACATACATGTATATGTATATATAATTTATTTTTTACTTCTTTTTATCATTATTATCATTTTATAATACTGTTCAATAGGCCTTGGGATTTCCCTTGCCACCACTCCAAATCCCCTTCTCCCCCCGACTGAGTTCCCCTGTATTATTACTATGGTATAGTTCTTCATAAACAGTCATAGATTCATCATTGCAGGCATGGACAATGGCAGAGTCCAGCATCCTACTGTCAAGACAGAATTATCAGTTTCATTGGGAGTCCATCTTTGATGTGGAGGAAGAGATGGATACTGAATTGTATCCTCATATCTGGATATGATATTTTTTCATCACATGGTCACTATACCTCCCCTTAAATGAAAAGCCACTATACAAAAACAACAATCAGAAAAAAAAAATAGAAGTTTACAAGGCCATGCAGTTAAATAAGATGCTTCTGGATGTGTTACTCTCCATTGCACAATTACTATACATAAGTGTTGATCCTATCCTTGTCTGATTGTGTTTGACAGGATGTTCAAAGAGGTGAGTCAGAAACAGTATGTGAAATTTAATTGCAGCACAACCCTGAAGAATAACTATGTGGTCAGTGTGTAGCCACTTTGTATTTTAGCTAGTTAACATGAAAAATTTAATGAAGGCACTTGAATGTTCTCAAGGAATAATAGTATTATCAGAACTATAATTTTACTGTCAAAGATTCCTGTTATTTTCATCTCAGGACTTCCTTCAAATCTTACCTATAATTAAGGACACCAAACAGCCTTTATTTATTTTTTTATAATTTGAAAATTAAGGCTCAGGAAATTGTAACTGTGTATAATTTATTCAGAATAATAAAGTTATTACATGCTGGCATGCATAGTTTATGACAGATATAGTTCCCAGCATGAAAAGCTGGTGAAATGAGTGACTTTTTACATTTCCATGAATCTCATCATTGTCTGGTTTAATTATAAGATAGCTGGATTTCTATCTCTACATCAGTTTTCACCTTGTTGCAATATTATGCATCATTTAGTCTGAAAGTCTCCGATGAGTGTTACATGAGAATAAAGCAGGCAAGTAGTGGCTTTGTAATTTTTATAATAGTTTTAACCTCACCAAGCCACTGAACACGTCCTGGGCACCCATTGCAGTGCTGGAATGGGTGAGATCCTGAAAGGCAATGGGAGATACACAGTAGAGTACTGGAGGAGGCCATGACTGATTACTTGTTTTTCTAGGTGTTTCAGGAATGATTAAGACAGGAGAGTTTAACTAAACCGGAAATTTTAGCAATGTAAATATCAGGGCAAAGGAAAAAAAAAAGTCTGTGCTCAGCAAATTATTGGTAAATGAAATGATTTCCAAGCCTTACTTATACAAGGTTGTCTGTGAACATGAGGAATGAATATTGCCTAAAGTCACTTCATAAGAAACAAATCTGTCGTCTTTATTATATGATTTTGACCACTCTCTATAAACTGGAGCTAACTAAAATATTCTCTTTTCTTTGTATGAAGGTACTTCAAAAAGTTCATGAACTTATACAGAAAAATCACGTTCACGTGTATGTAATAGATCCAGTTTTTCAAAGGCAAAAGGGAAGGAACCAGTCAATACTAAAGTCCGAATACTGGTAAACAGTTGGTACAGCAGACACACTGAGATTGTATAAAGAACCTACCTTCTTTCTTTTCATCCTTCTTAGTGGCAGCTGAAACAAGCAAAGGAAAATAGTGTTAAAACAGATTAAATATCCTTTCCTCAGGATATCAAAATGCATTCAATATATTCAGAAATTTGGAAATCTCTTACACCTCATAAATCTATACAAACCTGGGATATATGTAGAACATGAAAACATCATTTTACACAAGATATTTTAAATCCCAAAATAAGAATATAGCCAAAAAAAAAAGAAAAGTATGCTGGGTTACTAAGACAAAAAATTAAATTTATTATGTGCGTAGTATAAACCTATGTTAGGTTTGGAATTGCTACAGTGCACATGTAATCTCTGATTACTATCTGCAATACTCAGGAATCGTACACTAGTTGACATTTGCCTTTGTGAGGATTTGTATGCTGTGTTCCACTTCCAAAAGAGAAGTGAGTATGTCATGCTTCCTTTAGTAAACTTGTGTCATCTTTTTCACAAAGAAGCCTACATTGGCCTACTTTTTCATTGTAACTTCTCTGCCCTGATATTCATTTAACACAGAATCTTTAATCTAAATCTAGATCCAGTCTGAAACTCATGGGCATTAACCGGAAGTATATAGGAAGCAGATTCAGTGGGTTTGGGTTTCTTCCAATCGCAAAAACGCTTGATGCTTTGTAAAGTTCATTCAAGAACTCAAAGAAGTTGAAGGTCACTTTAGTTGAATAAGAGATCATGTACTGTCTGAAGACTAATTCCATTTGAGCAGAAAACAATGTCAAGGACCAGTTAGCACCAACATCTGGGAACATTTTAAACATTTCTGCAGTGCAACAATTGCAAAGTGCTTGAAATACTTTTTTCTTGTTTGATATTCACAACATCCTCAAAACCAGGAACCCAACAAAAGCTGACATTAAAATAATCTGAACATGTTCCTACAAAGCTTTAGTAGCATGACAAGATCTAAAACTTGGGGAAAATATAGAAACAGAAGATAGAATTTAATTTATCACAAGTTGATTCCCTTGCTCTCTTGTTTTGTATGGTTAAAAAAAAAGCAAAGTTAAAAATATTAATATTTTATATGTTTGTTTTTAAATGTACTATAATAACATTGAAAAATACAGATGGCCTGTATTTATAATGTTGAAATACATCTGTTCCTATAGTTAAAGCAAAAAGATTAATAAGGAAAGAACGCACAGAGGGATGAGAAAGGATTGACTATCAGTTATTAAATTATAGACAGAGAGGCCAAGTTGGAGTGACACTGCACCATGATAACTACAGGTAATGTGTATGTAATGTGTATTTCCCTCTAAAAAGAAAAAAAAAAGGCTAAAATCAGAGTGTTTAAATCGTTGCCATGGCACCCAGCCACGTAGAAATGGTACATGTAAATTGAGACAGATATGTTTACTCTGACTGGACGTTACCCAATTTATGCATGTATCAAATTATAGTATGATACCCTCCAAAATTATGAATTAAAAATAATTGAGAAAAGAGAAAAAACGTTAGTTTAAGACGCAGATGCTTTGCAATACATTTTAAGTGATTATTTAACTTGCATTAGTGTGACTTAATAGACTCTTTGATTTCATCTGTTACTTCGCAAAATAAAAAAAAAGTACCATCAAAACGAAGAAATCCATGATCTGCTAACTCATCTGTCATGTGGACATTTTGATTTTAGCATCAAATTTTCATATTTTGCTTGGAGTCTACACAATGAGGAAACAGGGAGTGAAATTCTTCATTGTTCTCCTTCCTTTACATTATCCAACACAGCTTTTTATTCTGCCCCAGCTTTGAATTAAATTGATTTTCACATAAATTGTGATGGGATAAAAACAATACATATGCAATGTTGTGAATGGTGCCGTGTATTGGGTGCAGAGTTTCTGTTCTATCACAGGGAAAGAGAGATGAATGGGGGTAATTGTTCCACAATATCATAAAAGCATTTGGTTCATTGAACTATATACTTAAAATTAATCACATGGTAAACTTTAAGTGCATTTTACCACAATTTTCAAGAAAAAAAAGTGCATTTTTAAAACAGAGGGGAAGAAAGGCAACAAAGAGAAAATTACTGCCTAAATTAGGCTGCTCAAACTTCACCTGGCATAAAGTGAGCAGATTTTTCTTTTAGGCTAGATCCTTCCCTAGCATGCATTCTGTGATAATAATTCTACAATCTCATGTACCCAAAGCAAACTACCATTTTTCTCTTTCCTTTTCTTTATTTTGCTCCATTTTTTCCATCAAATATTGTTCCTTCAAAAATGTATATACTCTGCTTTCTCTTCAGATTGTATACATTTTTCACCTTTTACAAAAACATATGGCATTTGGGCCCGGCGGCGTGGCCTAGTGGCTAAACTCCTCACCTTGAACGTGCGCCCGGGATCCCATATGGGCACAGGTTCTAATCCCAGCAGCTCCACTTCCCATCCAGCTCCCTGCTTGTGGCCTGGGAAGGCAATTGAGGACAGCCCAGGGGTTTGACAGCCTGCACCCATGTGGGAGACCTGGAGGAGGTTCCTGGCTGCTGGCTCCGGATTGGCCCAGCACCAGCCATTGCGCTCTCCTCCTCTCTGTATATCTGACTTTGTAATAAAATTGAAAATACATCGTTAAAAAAATGTATGGCATTTATGCTTTTTGCTCATGTATCATTGCCACTGCCCTTGGTGATCTCGTTGCCTCATATCTGCCATACGTGTTGGTCATTCTTTGTAGTTACTATACTTTCCTGCTCTGCTATTCCAATTCCTAGTCATGATGCAACAACAAGTAAAGTTATTCTTTCTCCATGAGCACCTCTTAACCCCCCGACTAGTACTGAAAGTCAACAGAAATTACATGGCATTCGGTTCCTTTATAATTCAATATGAAAAGTTACTTTATTTATAGTATTAGCTATTTTTTCCAATTTTAACATCATTATCAATTTATGGTGGAGTTCCATAGGCCCTAGGATTTCCCCTAATCCTCCACCTTAATCCGCTCTGAACTGAGTTCTACCATATTATTACAGCACCATAGTTCCTCATAAGCAGTCATATGTCCATCACTGGGGGCATGAACAATGGCAGAGAGTCCAGCATCCCATTGTCAAAACACAACTCCCAGTTTTGCAGGGAGTCCATCCTTGATCCAGCACGAAAGATGCACATTGCTCCATATCCTCACATCCGGACATGTCAGTCTCCACTAAACAGTCACTATAAATTCTCCCCAAGAGAAAAGTCACAAAACAAAGTCGACAACTGGAAGAAAAACAGAAATTTGCAATGCCATGAAGTTAAACAACATGACACTGGGTATGATAGTCTCCACTATACTGTTACTATGCATCCTCTTAACTGGAAAGTCACAAAATAAAATCAACAATAGGAACAAAAAATAGAAACTTACAATGCCATGAAGTTAAATAACATGCTGCTGAATGACTAATGCATCGCTGAAGACATGTAAAAAGAAATCAAGAACATTCTTGAAGAAAATTATGCTACTGTATGAACTATTAGTCCTTAAAGAATTTAATTACAAAAAAGTGTTTTGAAAAAATGAAACTAAAACTAAAAAACATCAAAATCCATGAGATATAGTTTATGCTGATCTTTGTGGGAATTGTCTCCTTATTCTGCAATATTGATTCACCCTAGTGAAGTTATTACTAGAATTTCATAAATCTCTGCAACAATGTACTGCAACACAAAGACATTAATTTCACAGTCTCCTTGGTGCATCAAAATCCTTTCCTGGCATAAACTGCAAAATGTATTTCCAGACCTAGTGCCATGGCATAGCATGCTAATCCTTCACCTGTGGCACTGGCATCCCGTAGGAGCACTGGTTCTTGTCGTGGGTACTCCATTTCCAGTCCAGCTCCTTTGTAAGGCAGCAGAACATGGCCTAAACTCATGGGTTCCTGCAGTCACATGGGACATCTGCAAGAACGTGCTGCATCTCAGCTTAGGATCCACCCAGCTCTAGCTACACCCATCATTTGGGATTTGGGGAGTGAAGCACCAGATTGACAAGCTCTTTCTCTCTTTGTTTCTCTCTTGCAAGACTGGTTCTAACAAGACTTTGAAATGCTAGGTCACTAGGTTAGTATTCACTCAACAGGAGGCTACCTCATCTCATGCAGTTTAAAGATTAAAATCAAAAGTCCATAGCATCAACTGATTTTGTGTGTGTATTTCATTTTAATTTGCCTTTAACATATTTAAAGTAATTATAAGGTGCAGTTCTAAGAAAATAATTATATCCAACTGAAGTTTGAAGACATCTTCCTTATATCTCTTAAGTTCTCTTACTTTAATTTTCCTTCCCTTAAATTTCCATTTCTAAAATGAGGCTGGACAGAAAACAGATGCAATTCATTCACTCCCATATTATGCGATGTCCTAATGGACCTGCTACATGGGCCTTCTTTCCAGAAACTTTGACAATTCAGTCTAAATGTGTCAACTGCTTGATAATTGCATGCACAAGAACAGAAGGCGAGATAAGGATGTGCAGTAAACATATGTATGTTTTATTTTCAAACTGTGTTAGGTGAAGATTTCATATGCAACACAAGTAGTCGGACCTTCCACTTACTTCTTTCTCAAACACTACTCATTGTAGAACACAACATACAGATACTAGTAATTGTGAATCTGACATTCTTAGGTGGCTTTTAAAAACTAAGATTAAAGGTGGGCATCTGGCCTAGAGCAATTAAGACTCTAGGATGTACCTATTTCACATCAGAGTGTCTGGATTCCACTGCCAGCTGTACCCCAAACTTCTTGCTAACATAAGCAATAGGAGACAGCAGGTGGTAAACCAAGCAGTTATGTCCTTAAAACTCATCCCTGGTTTGAACATTGTATTCCTGCCTTGCTGACATTTGGAGAGTTAACCAGGCAAGGATCTCTTTCTCTCTAGTTGTTTCTCCCTTTATCTTTCCTCTACCTCCAGTAAACAGTCTCTGTGTGTGTGTGGGCGGGGGGGGGGGGGGGGGAGAGGGGATATAATTCTTTTAAAACCATATCTAGACCACAACTTTTGCAGATTCAATATTTATTGAATAATACTAGTAATAATATTAGTAATGTTAACTTATAGATACATACAATTATTGAGTTCTTTAGCAATTCTGCAAATTTATCACTACTAAATCATATTTGCTCCCACTATAAGTACTTCGCCTCTTCACTAATGTTTCCTGTAAAAATCCAGCAGGTGGTGCTATTCTGCAAAAAAAACAGCTGGTGCTTTGTCAGCAAATGCTATGAACTTGGAAAAAAAAAATGTAAAAGTATGCTTCTAAAAGTTTTATTTCTTACCTTGTGCTACAACTTTTACAGTCCCGGCTTTAGTTTCAGGAGTTTTCCCTGGTTCTGATACAGAAAAAGATACATAAGTTACTGGGAAGTACTATGTCAGAAAAATATATTAATCACAGCAGCAGCAACAACAACAAAACCAAAACCCAAACCCTGGGATTTTATGATTAGTTACAGTTTGTGTTCCTCAGGAATATTAGAGTTATTTTTCCTTCTTGCTGTGGTGATGTCTTTACTTATTGAAGTGCTAAGCCTGTGAGCATGAAGTGCAATGAAACTGAAAATTTGAAGTAAAAAAGAAAAAAAGAAGTAAAGAAAGGAGGAAGGTAGGTGGAGAATGCGTACCAGAGAGAGGATAGGGTAGGAAGTGGCCCCGTTCTCCTAAATGTACATCATGGCATATGTAAGATGTATCTACTTTATATAAATAACTTAAAACATATAAATAATAAAAATAAAATTCACTACTCAGTACATTAAGTAGAGTGTGTGTGTGTGTGTGTGTGTGTGTGTGTGTGTGTCTTTTCCAAAATTCCTGCTTCAACTTCTTTTAAGATCCACAGTGAGTGCTGCTCTGCCACATTATCAAATAGTATTGTCTTGGGACTCTGAATTTTAGAAAAATGAACGCAGTCATTAAGACAAGACTGAAAATAAGGTTTACCAAGAGCAAGAAAGAAAAAAATGAAAAAAAAGCTGAACCAAGTCAAAGTACAATCATTTCAAAGTTCATTCTTCCTCATTTTGCACATGAAATATCACTCAGTGTATCAGAATTATTTGTAAATCTTTTTTGATTTCTCAGTTACTGGAAATCGGAGGGTATTTACATGTGACTAAAATGGTTTATTGAAGGTCGCTGGTTAGGAAGTGAGTAAAGCTCAGAACAACCCATTTCAAGCTAGAAACTTGAACTCTCAGATGCCGTTTCTTACACGTCGCTATCCCTGTGGCCCTGGGCTACAATATCCACGGTGACAGCATGAGCAAGTTTCATTTGTAATCTTTGTTTTCCTTGTCAGGCTTTTGCCTATCTTTCCCCTTTATACTGAATTTTTACTTAAAAAATAAAGCACATAAAATTGCATAGTAAACTATTTAGCAATCTTTAATTAATTAAAATAAAAAATAAAGTGGGTAGAATGACTCATTTTGCATTTCACTTAGAATATTTTAAGGTAATCACTACTGTTTTCAAAATTAAATTATCACAGTGACAATAAAAGCAAGATTTGGTCATTAATTTCAGATGTTTACTTTTATTAATTTATTTTTACTATAATTATTTGGGAGATTTCAGAAGCTATGTGTAAATGTAGTAGTTGATATAGAAAAACATTAAATTTCCATTTAATTGTTTTCCAATATTGATTAAACTTAGCTGATTTAATATTGTGATATTTGTTAGTTATGAAATACCAACATTACATCAGAATGACTTAGAAAACAATCATTACAACGATTTCATATTTTTTTGGTTACACAAAAGATACTCAATTTCTACTTGTTTCTTTACATTGTTTTTTTGAGGTAATTGTTCATTTAAAATGTAATGATAATTATGAAATTGTTAATCTTTCATTTATGTTCTATAAAACTACACTGTTGGGTTTAAATATTGATTATTATCATAGCTTTTCCTTCAAATAAAGCTTTAGCCAGAACTAAATTATGCCTGTGATCTTTTTATAATTAATTTTAACTTTTTTCAATTAACATCTTCTCTGATGATCTCGTCGTGTTACAGAATTGTGGACTGTGGCTACGTGTTAAAAATATTTTAGAATATCACTTGATAAGTCACCTTAGAAATTTTATAGGTTTTATTTTCTCCTTTTGTTTTCTTTCCTCTTACGTCAATGATCCTACACAATTATGTAACACATAAAATTCTACTGCACCATTTGGTATATTTGTGAATTATTGAGTCTCTTTTCTTGGAATTATATTATTTCTCTCAGTGGCAATTCAGTCTCACTGACAGTCACTTTCCTTGGTGGTTAATTTCAGAAACGTGTCCCCGGTTGTCCACGTTTCCCCAGTGTAGTGTCCCTACACACTGATGGTTTCTCAACAGGGTCACAGTGTGATTTTAACCCATCCTCTGCTGGTTGTATGAACACTGGATGGGCATGTTTTATGCCTATTTTCTCTGGATTCCTTTTTCTGTAATGAGTGTTCCCAAATAAAAGGTATAAAGGTGCTTCTATAGCTCCTAGCCAAATGAATGACTTTCAGTGGAGGATAAACGCAGGATTAAAAGTAGTAACCTGGCTGGCATTCATAATCTAATCTCTTCCTTCTCTGATTCCATGATGTTTTGTTTGCTTGTTATGTTTTTTCAAGATAAATAATTTCTCAGAAAGGTAGTTACAGAAAGACAGGGGAAGAGAAAGAGTATCTTCCAACTGCTGGTTCATTTCCCAGATGCCCACAATCACCAGGGCTGTTCTGGTCCAAAGACAGGAGCCAGGAGTTTCTTCTGGGTCTACCCGGACTTGGGTCACTTGCCCCTGCTTTCACAGGCCATGAACAGGGAGCTAGATTGGAAGCACAGCAACCTGTACTGAGGCAGATACGCATAGGGGTTCCAGTGTCTTAGACAATGGTTTCCATCACTATGCCGTGGTGCTGCCTGGATTCTGTGCTTCCAACTTAATTTACATTTGTTTATCAAACAGTACAGGAAGTTTATCTCAGTAGAATTAAAGGTGATTTAGAAGCAAATGTCTTTTCAAGAGCTCTGCAAACTTACATCCACTAAACAGAGTCAAAGAGATCAAACACATGAGGAGATGATTAGTTTTGGAGTCGGCTTTTACACAGCATTTATGTTTTTAAAACTGTGTGACAGGCCCAGAGCAGTGGCCTAGTGGCTAAAGTCTTCATCTTGAATGTGCCTGGATCCCATATGGGCGCCGGTTCTAATCCCCACAGCTCCACTTCCCATCCAAATCCCTGCTTGTGGCCTGGGAAAGCAGTGGAAGACGGCCCAAAGCTTTGGGACCCTGCACTTGTGTGGGAGACCCAGAAAGAAGTTCCTGGCTCCTGGCTTTGGATTGGCGGAGCACCGGCCATTGTGATCACTTGGGGAATGAATCATTGGACGGAAAATCTTCCTCTCTATCTCTCCTCCTCTGTGTATATCTGACTTTATAATGAAAATAAATAAATCTTAAAAAAAAATTGTGTGTCTTAGGATTTAACCTTCATATCATAAATGTTCAACTTATTAAGGCCACACTCAAAATTGTCTAAGTAAAACCTCATTAAATCCAGCGAGAAAAAAAAATTGCCCAATTTACTTTGCCTCTTTTTAATTTCTGCTGACACCAAGAGAACTAACATACTAGGAAAACATCTGATGATATCCACACAGCAAGAACAAAATAGATGAAAGAATGAGTTCTATGCTCCCAACACACACTCAACAATTAACGAGTTATGTCTGGTCTACATCCTCTGTGCTATGATGATACGCCCTAGGCATAAAAATAAAAATGGTTATGCTATACTGCGTTTTACTTGAAACAATTTACAACTGTGTTTTAAATAAGCACATTATTTAAATAAAACACATGAGCATCGGTGTCTTCAACCAAAGGTAATACTAATTCTAAAACTGAAAAACAGTCTTTTGGTCTGCAAAGGGTAAACAAAAAGTTGGCATAATTCACTTGGGCTTGTATTGGCTGGACATTACTAGAGAGTCTTGAAACATGCTGCCTTTACTTATGCAAGTTGTTAAGAAGAAGATTAGCCAAATATCTTAATCTCTTCTGATTAAAGAGGCATGAAAAAGTTTTATTTTACAAAACTGAAAAAAGTATTATGAATTTACAAGTGTTTTATTAAAGACACATTTTTTTTCAGAGAAGCTTAAATATTAACTTAACAACCTAAAAAGAATACAGATGAATAATTGGATATGAGACACCAAACTTGAAAATCATTATCCTTGTTAAGCAGACATCAAGCCGGACCCATTGCAGTGGCTCAGTGGCTAAATCCTTGTTTGTCACAGACCGGGATCCTATATGGGTCCCAGTTTCTGTTCTGGCTGCTCCACTTCCCATCCAGCTCGCTGTTATGGCAGTAGAAGATAGCCCAAAGACTCTGGTCTCTGCCTGCCTGGAGCCCTGGAATCAGCTCCTGGGCCTGGCTCCTGGCTTTGAATCAGCTCTGGGCATTGCGGCCACTAGAGCAGTAAAATAATGGATGGAAAATCCTGTCTCTCCTCTCTGTAAACCGGTCTTTCCAATAAAAATGAAGAAAACTTTTAAAAAAGGAAGACATATATGGCATAAAGAATTTTTTTGTTTGTTTTAAATTTTTGGACCTCTTTTTCAATAAAACATTCTAGGCCATTCACTGAATTTGGAAATTTTTTCAAATTTCTGTTTCAAATAAATTTTCAGTTTAGTTGTGTTGATCAGGAAATACACATATTTTGTTTAACAATGAGCCATGAATTAAACATTTATTTGGGACTCAAATTACAAATCTAATGTCATTGCATTAATTTTTCAAAAAAATAAATTGAAACATTTATAGTAGTCTCTTGCTAATAATATCATATTTCCAGATATTTAGAATGCCATTGGATGAAAAACTTAAATGGGTGAAGCAAAACATACATATTTTTACAAATAAGGTAGTAGGAAATAATGCCAAATTGTTCTGCACTCCCATGAGCTGATAAGCCAGACTTTAAGTTATTGTTTCCTATTCATATAAATCTCATTATTAGTTTTAAATTTATACACTCTCAACATAGGGGAAAGTTAATATTTAAAAGTTGCCATACTCCTTAAAAGCTCTTGGGCTTAGCCGCTGGTCATTTTTGCTCCTGGAAAGCATGTTTCAGGTGCATTACCTCACGTCAGTATGATAATTACCCCATTGAGACAAAATTAATCAGGAGCCAGCCTCTGGCCATCCTGTCTGACCATGGGGACTGAAACCTGAAAGAAGCACCTATTTGCTGTCAGAAATGCAAATTGAAAAATGTGCACAATGCAGAAATATGAATAATTTATCAAAATAATCTGTTA